CGACTTATCTCCCTTATAATGAAAGAATTGTCTAGATAAACTGCATTATCACATTAACACGGATAATGCTTATTATTACAGTATACAAGAAAAGCATTGATGCAAAGCATCAAAGGACGTCCAAGCAAGAAATGCAGCAAGTGAAGATGAACTAATACACATATGATGACAAGATATTCTTATAAACTACCAGAAATGTATACCACTTATGAATGAGCGGACGAAAGACATTGTTCATTATGAACTTTGATTAGCATGCTAGAGATTACAATATTACTTGTTATTTCTTTATGATCGTGGTTATTAATAGCAACGGATATACATAGTGTGTGTGTGTTTGGTTTGTTTACCCTCGCCACCGGAATGAACCATATGGGCGAGCACATACTTCATTTAAAACTTGCTTAATTTATATGGGAACTAATTTAATTTGTCTACAGTTTTATCGGTAGAGCGGGTGCACCTATTACCGAACACTTAAGCCGCGTTTTATCTCGGTCGGAATTATGAGCACTTTAAACTAAAGAGAGACAACTCTTCAATAGATTAGTAATTATGCTACAATTTTGGCCAGTATTAGAACCCTAACGAATACAAATAAAGGCGTTATCGTCCGATCAAAAGATCTACCAACTGCCCCTAATACCGAATGATGATTGTAATTCCGAACATTGGTGTTCCTAATTCCGAACATGAGGAACTTTTTAAAATAAATATGTTGAGTAAACAAATACACACCATTTTCGTACTTTGGCACAAATCTACATTAGAAAAGAGTTTTGTCAATCATCAAAGTATTTTTAAAATGTTAATTTTATTAAACATATTCATTTCTGCAACAAAAGTATTGAATGTCAACGAAAAGGAAAATATATAGTTTCAAAAACCAAAAAAAGGATTCAAACAATACATTCAAACATATTTTAAGCGACAATATTATAACTACAGTTTGCATCAAGTAATCTTCTATATGTAGAGAATATATGTTGTTGCACTAACACTAATAGTATTTACATTCAAATGGAAGATCATCCGAGAAGTCGGTAAGTTCATCGGCAACATAAGTAAGAAAAAAGCGCCTGAAACAATTTATGCACTGTATATAGTCCTCATAAAATGTTTTGCACTTAAAACAGCTTGTAGGACTTACTGCAATATTATCATCTGAATCGGATGCCTCAATTTCTTTTATGATCGGTTTAGTCTCTTGCTTCTGTTTCTCCTTCAGTTCTCTCAGCTTTTTCTTTGCCTCTTTTCTATCCTTCCGTTTCTTTTTGAGTGCAATCTGTTTTTATTTCAGCTCTTTGGCTCTCTTGAGTTTATTTTGTAATCGTTCTCTCTATCAATCTTGTTTTTTTTTCAATTCCTTTTCTTTCTTTTCTTCTTTTTCGTTCAACCATTATCTGTACTTTTCCCCTGTTGCTGTTGGCATTATCATTTTACGTGCTTTTGGTTTCTTTGTTTCAGTCTTTGGGAATATTAAATGTTTGCTAAATGGTGACATAGATACGTCTGTTGCTTTAGGAACACATTCATCTGAAGATTTCGATGGTGTTGTAAGAGAATCAGTCGTAATGTTAGGTGTCACAGTAAACATGGAGGCAGTTGATGTATCAGTCGGGCAGTTGATGTAGCAGTCGGCTCCATTGAGTGAGACACGACTGTGAATGGCTTAGATGGAGTGGTGACTAAATCATTTGAAGCTGTAGGTATTTCATCAAGCACAGATTCGTTTACAATATCTGACGGCGATAATTTACCAGCTGATGTAGGAGGAGTCACAGCTTATGTAACAACAGTAGTTGCTGTAGTTATTGTGTCCAATGGGGTGAATCATTCTCTTTCAACTTTTGTTCGGAATTTGGAACATTCAGTGAGTTCAGTATGTAATTCCGAACACTGCCAGTTATTCATTCATACGACCTTAAAACATGTACAGGGGCTTCACACATGATTTTTATTTTTGTCTACATCATTGATTTCAAAAGAATTTGACTAAAGCATCAATATTCAATATTTTATGATATTAGTAAAAATTTGTAAAAAATTAGCTTATAAATAAAATGTCTTACCAAAAATTGAAGTAAATCCTTGAATGCACAAAATCACAACAAACAACACAACCGCGAATTCAAAATGTTGCGGGTGGAAAGAGAGACAAAGTGACGTAATAATAATGATTTCACTTTTTTGAATTGTGTTAAACATGAAATATTAAATGAATTATAATATTTTGGTCGGAATTAGGAGCATGTTCGGCATAAGGTGCACCCGCTCTACATGTGTTTACGTGTGTGCCATAATTCCTACCACAAGTTCGTATAAAAGTACGTAACCCATGATAGGAATAAGATGGGATTGCTCCCATACTAAGTTAAAATGACGTGTATTTAAAAAAAAATTGAACAGCATATTTAAATTACCTAAGGTTAAAAGGGCCGAGACGTTTATAAAAAGCACCGTCTCTTATAACAGGTCAACTATTATAATATTCCATGATTAAAATGATAGAGAGAAAGTCTTGTTAAAGCAATGTCAGGAACGCATTTTCCCAATTCAATGTGGCTAGTCATTTAAAGGCCTGATTTGATCAGATACATACACAAAGGAGTGTCAGAATATTAAAAAACAAGTTTGTTTTAGTGTGGAAAAGATAGAATTTAATAATTTTCTAGTATATTTCACCCGAACACCTGCTTACGGATATACATGTACATGTATGCAATCATTTATAATCCATATGTGTAACGCATGATCAACACGTACCACACATTTGTCCCTTATTATGTTATCGCTATTAGCGAAGACCCCCTTAAGGTATCTGTTCACACTTTAAGTTAGTAAAAATATGGCACTGGTTATATTACCATGTTGATCATGTTGAGCATAATTGTTTATTATACAATAATTGTAATATCTATTAATTTTAATAAAAAAAATACAAATTTTATGAATATTGTTTTCTTTTATTCTTTTTTGTGTTTTATGTGCTATTTTAATACTGAGTTTTTACTACTCTTTTTCATTAAAATTGTAAAATAAATTTTAAGAATTCAATTGTCATATTGACCGACGATTATAAGTCAAAGCTTAACTGGAAAAAGTCAGTAAATTATGGTTTATCTTTCAATATATAATATTGTTTATTCTTAAACCATGTACATGTACATTGTATTTTTCTTTATCATTTTTTAAATTATCGATCAATTGAATAATTCATAAAATCTAATTTGTAACTTTGAATAATTCCTCGGCATCTTTACTAAACACGGATAACAAATTAAATAATTAAATAAAATGTTTCAAAGTTGATAATGTCATTTTAATACCATAAAAATGTACCTTTTTCTCAATTATTGTACATATCACGGATATATTTTACATATAAATCCGTGTACATATTTATTGTTTTTATCTCATATAGATAAAATGAAAGATGCTATTGTTGTTTTTTTTCTAATTGTAACGATATCAAACATCTACTCCAAAACCGGGAGAGACCGGACAATAAACCTGTGGTACTATTCGCCGGTCACTAGTAAATCCTGGTCAAAATAGACCGGGAGAGACCGGCAATTCTGGAAACAAAGTGATCCCTCGGAAGCATTAATCACAACAAAATAACATAAGAAATGCAGACTCGGTTTGATTGAGTCTGTACATGAGGGATAATGAATAAGTGCAACATCCCTCACGCCCCCTAGCACCGACTTGAGCGGTACAAGTTTAGATCAGGACGCATAACAGCCTCAAAAATGAAATCTGTCTGCTCAACAGATAGTTCGAACCCCTCTCAAAGCCTTATAATGTCCATCTGTTACCCATCTAGTCATCAATTTTCTTCTGAAGCAACTGCATGGGGACTGAAAAATGAGAAGCTAGCAATTGATAAGTTTGTACAAGCATTCATTGCAGAAGGTCATGAAAATGTGACTGTTGAAAATTGTGGCCTATTTATCAGTTCTGACAGTCCATGGTTAGCAGCAACCCCAGATTGCATAATTTCATGTGACTGTTGTGGGAAAAGTACAGTTGAGGTAAAATGTCCTTTTTCAAAGAAGAATGATGTCCTTAAGTCTGATGGAGATTTCTACCTCATTCAAGGAGACAATGGAGAGTTAAGTCTAGACCATAAACACAATTACTATTTTCAAGTTCAAACACAGTTGGGTGTGACTAAGTGTGAGTCGTGTTTTTTTATTGTATGGACAGAGAAAGACATACATATTGAAGAGATTGACTTTGATAAGGAATTATGGGACACTATTCAAAACAAAGCCGAAATTTTCTTTCGGACAGCTATTCTCCCTGAATTGGTTGGAAAATTCTATTCTCGACTCCCTGGCACAGGTATACCAACCATCTCATCAACTATTCTGAATGATAACAGTTCGAACAAGGCAGGTGCATGTGAAAATGTCCCAAGTTCTTCCAATAATGAAGAAACTTGGTGCTACTGTAACCAGGTGGAATCAGGAAATATGGTTTATTGTGACAACGAGAACTGTGACATAAAATGGTTTCATTTTACTTGTTTGAAATTGTCAAATGAACCTAAAAGTAAACTATGGTACTGCCCTGACTGTAGGAAGTTGCCTGAATTTTCAAGGAAACGTATAAAGAAATGTTAAAAAATAACAAATCAGATAAAAAACAAAATGATTTTTTATTGCTGGTCACATCAACAGTTCATTTTTGTTTCAGCAAAACTCATAGCATTAAAAGACATGACAGGTTAATAAGTGTCTAGTAAAAAGAACATATATATGTGTTTTAACATAAAAACATACATTATTTTTTTAAAAGAAAGTTTTAATCTTTTTATAATTTGAAGTTACAGATAGTTGAAAAATTGTTGTGTAACATAACTTGTCATAAGATTATTTGTTACAGACTATAGAAGTAAAAATGATTCAGATTGTTGCTGTCTGTTATTTTCACACAACAGTATTTTATTTTTTATTGTTTGTTTTGTTACAACAGTAAAACAGATATGTGTATTAAAATTTGAAGAATAAAATGTTTGTATCATAATCAGTACCAGCATTTATATTTTTCCCTACAAGTAAATAACAACTTCTCTACATTAGTCATCACATTAAAAATACATATATACATAACACTAATGTGTCATTTCATTATCATTGTCTTCTATTGGATTTACTATGATTTAACAATGACTCACTATTGTACAACTGTACAGACTTGTCAATCAATCAAAATTCACTACAGGTTCACACATGTTAACAAGTCCACAACAAGTGGCGGCATGGCCGAGTGGTTAACGTGTCGGACTAGTAATCTAATGATCGCTAGCCGCATGGGTTCAAACCCCGTCAGGGGCAAGTCGTTGTTTCCTTGAGCAAGAAACTTTACACTCATTGCTCAGTACTGGTTGGTTCCAGGAACGGATTCGAAAGTGTGTCTATAAGCTTATAGCTTCCTACACAATCGAACTAAAATAAATTCTGTATAAACCAAGTCCACAACAAACATATGCAATTTTATCCACTAAAGGAATATTCTCATTTTCCCGTGCGATCAGAAAATCAATTGGTAATGTACCATTTAGTATAGTATATTTCTGCCTGACAAGCCCAATCACTCGTTCAACATGTATTCTAACATTGGCAATTTTTCTTGTTGTTTCGATATCAAGAGGAGATAACTGGCTTTTTCCTTTAGTAAATGCCGGAATTTTCACTTCCGCACACATGCTTCCAATGCTTGCTTGTATATCAAAGCCCCTATCTGCCAGCACAAGATCACCTGGTAAAATCTTATGTAAAAAACCACAATTTTCAGTGATGTGTTTATCACTGGTCCTCCCACCCCATGACTTTGAAATAAAAGAAATAACACCTTGTGGGGTTATACCTAGTAAAAATTTAACTGTGTTATGATGTTTGTAGGAGGACCAGGTTTCAGCTCTTGCTTTTAAATTTGATGGGCGTTCAATAAACACCTCAAAACAGTCTATAATTACAGCACATTTAGTTCCAAAATGTTGTCGAAACTGCATTGGCATTGTGAGCCTTAATGTCTCTCTGTCTGGCCAATATACTAATGGCTTCAGGCGAATATACATTACATCAATTACTTCAGAAAATGTCCTGGATACATTGGATTGCGAAATTTTGAACTGATATGACAAGAACTGGTTACTTAAATTCAGTCTCAGTTTAATAAGTGTTAACATCAAGGTTTCGAACTTGCTCAAAGACAGTTTAGCTGGTATGTATGCCTCTAGGAACTGAAACAATGCAAAGAGCACAGAAAAACATGTTAATCCTGTGAAATGTTTAACTTTTTCATCATTTTTTTTCATTGACTCCATACTATATGGATGTTCATCGCACAATTGATCTGCTAGTTCTTGATTTTTTGTTTGTAAATAAGAGATTTCGGTTTGCATTGCTGTTATGCCTACACATGTAAGCTCAGTTTGGCATACCATGCCTTGGTCTGTTGTTGAGTCCTCCACCTGTAAAAGTTCTTCACAATCCTGTGAAATACTAAGCAGGGTCCTTGCTGCATCGGCTTTTCTGTTTCTGTCATTTCTTCGTTGAAAACGATCATTGGCAAGATATGGTGATCTTAACACTTTTGTCCCCATATTGACTGTAGGTGCCCAGTTAGGACTCTCTCTTTCATATAAGGCTGCTTTCTTCCCTGAAAAATAAATCAGTTACATTTTTTTCAATCAATTCATTTTATCAAATTCAATAGTAATAATGGAGATTAAAAACATTTTAACTAAAAATTCAAAATCAAATAGTTGCTGAAATGTCCGACATGTCTCTGGCCCAGCATAATTTTTCTCAACTTGTCAATAAACATGTATAATCAACCCAAATCAACTCAAAATTCAAGGACTCGCACAATTACACTTTCCATTAAATAGAAATCAATTTATACTAATTAATGCCGAATATCAAACAAAATTTTACCGTTAACAAAATGATCTGAGCAGACTCGGATATGTTTCAAATTTTTCCCAGCGAAGTCTTGATGTAAATTCGCCAACCACAAACGCCTTCTTTCTTCCGACAATTCTCTCGTTTTCTCCCCTTCACGAGTTACTACCTCAGGCAATCGATAATAATGTTTGTCATTATCCCTATCAGATCTATTATGACATCCCAAAACTCGACAATAGTTCACCATTTTAAACAAATTTCAATTGTTATCGCTAAATTTATGCACGCTTCGATGGCAGTGTTTACACTTTACCGTCTCGTGTCAATAATCCGGGTCATGACCTTATCTCCAAAATGGCGACCGGCTTATCGATTACGTCATATGCAAAGGGTCTATAGGAGTGATAAATAGATATATCTATAAATAGGTTTTTGGAATATTTAGGTCATCAACTGATCATTCTAGGATACATGTACAACAATAACATACCATGATAACCGACTGTGTACTACAAAATGATAAATAAAAAACCCCGAAGAGCGCGATTTATTGACGGAAAAGGTTATTTCACTTGAAAATGTTTGCATTGCGAAAATTCATTGTAACATATCGCGACATTTCATTCTTATTTAATAATCAAGCACCCTCATACCGATCGGAATTTTCGGCTTTTATTATGACCGACTAAAAGGCTCGAGAAGTTGCTGTCGCCCTTTCACAAAATCTGATCTCATTCCATAGGAGCGCCGCGCTTCGGCGCGGACGCCAATAAACTTAGTAAATTATTAATCATAATCATTATGGCTAAGTAATAAGCTTGTTGATGTTCTTTTTATTGGCACATGCATTGTTCCATTCACAAGTCGCTTTAATTAACTGAAATGATCAGATTCCCGAATGTTACTTTTTGTTTCAGAAATAATCTGGAATACCAACTAATTCGATTTCATAAACATGAAACTCATTAACCTTCCTACAGTTTAATAAAACTATGGAGCAGTATTCAACTTTCCTGTGACGGTGTTAATAATTGCTCCTAAAATAACATCAGATCTCATAAATGTTTTTTTGTTTTAATTTCTAACATATTTTCTTTTCAAACAGTCAACTTACAAAAAGAAAAGATACGCGTTGAAGATTTACTAGGTAGTAGATTGTGGTAGAAAAAATTTATATAAAAACAAAAAAGGAAAAATAAGTGCTGGAAAAAGGTTACATATTTGTTAAATAAAACAAAAAACACAGTCCATGCTCGATTGAGTAAACTTATTTGCCAACCGGTTCCTCTTATGATCATCAGGGCAAATGTGACATCGTCGCAAAGTAACGTGTACGCACAATCTAAAAACAGTATCGTCATAATATTTATTAAGTTTTGGATCAAAAACAGCAATAAAATAGCGTTCTTTAGATAACCTAGCTGAAACGTTTTTACTGTGAAATTTATAAAATCGATTAATACAATTTTTGCGCATTTATCTAAATGTTCACTTTCAGGTAATTGTCTTGTTGATGGGTATCTGATCTGCTGTGCATGAACAGTTTTTTCTGTTTCTGAGTTTATCACAATTGATATTTCAGTTTTAATGTACAAAGTTCTGAAACTTTGTTTTTAATATTCGATTGATATTTTGCAAAATCATCAACGACTGAATCATATAATAAAAATGTGCAATAACTATCGAAATTATTGACAATCTAGTATAAATCATAAAATCCCTATCACTTAATTCAAAGGTAAATATGGTGTATTTAACACAATATTCAAATGTTTAAATTATAAATGAAACCAAAATGTATCCGCACTATTTTACAATAATTATGACATTGTCAAGAAAACTGCAGACTCGATAGTGATTTAAAATGACAAGTTTATACAAGATCAATAGGTAATCTCAAATTAAAAGGCGAATATGAATTAACTGTCTGTATAAATAAATCAAGATGTCATGTTACCCACGTAAATAATAATATCCCGCAAGCTGTAACCATTTTGTAACCTCTGGTTTCTTTGACTTGTATTGTTGATGATAACTATCGTGTGGAAATGTGTAAAAGCTGATCATTCAGTGCTTTATGATATAGCACATATAAGATCACGACTTACATTTCACTTGTCAAGTATGGAATTTTTGTTTCTATTTTGTTTATACTACATTTGGGGTAAAACACAGTTCAACTTTTAGTGTGTACTTGAGATGTTTGTAAATTACAATAAAAAGAAAATCAATAAATAAATAACAGAAACAATCCACGTTTGTAATAGATATAGGTATGAATCGTTCATAAGACAGAAACCATTAAAGGTGTTTGAAAAGTATAAATAAGTATTATTTCCATTGTATTTATAAACCTAATGTTTTCAACAAATTTACTATGAATATCCATTTCACACATTATAAAATATAACCAATGATATTTCAATGTTTGAATCACGTGGTGTTCGAATAGAAATCATTATCGGGTCCAATCTTATCAATGTAACCTCGTTTTCAATCCTAGAAACATTCATATCAAATGCAAATCACACACCATATAGCCTCGTTTCTATCTCCAAAGTACAAATTATCAATATAAAATGCATATCACACGCTGTACAGCCCCATGTCTCTTTCCAAAGGCTTTAAGGTCCAAAATACCTATATCTAATGCATATCGATCGTACTTCATTTAACATTATTTCCATTTTCAAAGTAAAAAAACTTATACAATTCCTTATTGTTTTTATATATTTTCGCAGGTACTTCAATGCAATATCATTTGTATTTTTCTACCAAAATGTTCATGTTTTCAAGTTACTGTTGAACATTTTATAGTATACGATGTAAAACATGTTCACTAAGAAAACTTACATTTACATACATTGTACATGCATATCATAACAACGTATACGACACGTTGTAGAAAACATCAGTTTGGTAAACATCATTTCTGTACAGAAAAATATATAAGTAAAAAAGTAAGACTGTCAATGTTTTAAGTGTCTGCCATTATGCGTTGATGTATTTGAAAGATATTTGTAAATTTGTTTTTTATTTATTAATTTATTTTATTTTTATTTTTTGGGTGGGGGTTATTTGGCAATGAGTAAGATATTGTAATGAAATAATAAGTATATGGCATATATCAATTAAAAAGGTAGTAAATGTACCCTAATAAAGTAACTTTCGCATACATTGAAAAAGAAGATGTATTAATTACAATGGTTATAACACCGGGTTGAATATATTTTGATAGGCTTTCGTTCGCATGTATTTTTCATATTCAGCTTATTTTGCTATTCATTTCAATATAACTTTGTTGCAATAACATTACAGGGAAATGAAACATTCAATAGAAAAAAAGACATATTTGCTAAAGGTTTGATGTCTATAATAGATAATTCTACTTTTAAGCGAATTTGATGTTACAAGATTTTATCATCAATACGTGGTGCTAAGTGTGCATTTTTACATGGATTGAATATATGTTGTTTCACTGTGGTTGTATCGCATAAGTTATGTAGATAGATCTATGATATTGATCACGTGGTTTGGAAAGTATTTAAAAAACGCGCTACAACAATGCTTTTAATTTAGAATTTGAAATAGATAAAAATGATAACTCACATACACGAATATCATGACACTGATGATTTTATTCTTTACAGTTTCATAACAAAACGATGCAATTCAAGTTTTCGACGTCTTTCATTTATTTAAAGGGATTTAATTCTGAAGATTCCCGTTTTGAAGATCATCCGTTCGGTTGTTTTTTGTTTTTTTTTTGTTACATGTGAATTTTTTTTTTGGAAAATAAACAACAACAAAAATTGCATAGAAAAGACTCTTGATTTAACAACATATTTTATGATCACATTTAAAAAGAAATGAATTCCTTTAATGTCGTTATGACGATAATTGATGTTATTGTCCACTTCATTTCCTTTTGGGAAAACACTGGTATCTAACGGGGTATATCGATATATTTGTTACCTTCACACGGCAGTGAGCTGTGGTATAATGGTTCAGATGCCGATCTAACTATCTAAAAGGTCTCATTTCCTATCCAACACCACGTTATGAAGATACACATTTTTTGTATGAATTTAAAATCATTTTAGTACATTTGGTTTTAGGATACCTATTCATTAGATAACTATTAATTAATGGTACTTTGTAATTGGTGATTTGAAAATGTGAAAATATGTTGGTGATTCTTCTTCCCAGTCAAGAAGCTTGATCAAGACAATTTCAAACAGAAAGATGCTAAACAAATGTGAATTTAGCATCTCAACTCTTCAGTGCTTATAGGTGTCTAGTTGCATAGTTCAAATTCCAGGCTTCCGTTGTAGGTGTAACTATACTTACCAAAAACGAGTTTTCACGTTCTCGGCATCCACAACTGAATATGAAAATTGTTTCTGAAGAAGAACTCTTTGCTTACATTTTGTTATGTTTGCTCCTTATTGAAAACATTGGTTTAAACATATTTGTTTAAGCTCGATTGCGAAACAAGTTCTTGCAACTTATATTAATCACTTTCGAGTCCGCTTCCTGGAACCAACCAGTACTGGTGTCAAATGAAGAAACATGGTCGTAACCCGAGTAGGGCTCGAACCCATGATCTCTGGGTTGAGAGGCAGACACCTTAGCCACTAGGCCACCGCTCCACTTTTGAAAACATTAGATCGATCTTCTCGGTAACAGTATGAATTAATTTGTTGAGATATAAAAATTTACCTGATTGTTATTTATACGCACAAACGCACTCCACACAGTTGCACAGCTTAAGTAAGAACAATAAATTACATCTGCATCGTTGCAGACAAAGGTAATGTTACTATAAAACCCGTTAACACTATTCTTAAGTCCAACAATCAATATTAATGTACAGTTTATGTAAAGTCTGACAGATTGATAAAAGCTGTTTTCTTATAATAGCGCTTATAGGATATACACATTGATTAGCTCTTTTTTATATGTAAGACAATTATAGTAATTACAGTATTTTTAGCAGTATAAAACTTTTTTGTTAAATATCTTTATTATAAAGTAAATAATACAAAAGTTGGTAAGTCAAACAAGTTTCAAGTTGTACCTAAATACAGTGTAATATTTGACATACAAAATAACAATGATATAGATAAAGAAATTTATGTATAATGGTAGTCATCTTGCATATAAAACTGTGCATTATAATTCAATTAAATCATAATTATTCTCAGATTGTTATTTATGCACCACAATGCGATTACGTTAATTGACACTATTATACATTTATTACAAATATTTATTATAAAATGTGTTTTATTTGAAAAGACCTGTCAGTAATAAGGAACATATGAGGATTTAATAATTATAGTTTCAATTTAATTTGATTATTTTGAGAAATTACGCTGAAGTAAGTAT